TTGATTTTAATATATTATATTTTTATGTTTTAAACGAAACGTTTTTTTATTCATTACATTTTTATAAAACAATATATTTTTTGTTACAAAGTGAAATTTCTGAACAAATAAACTATTTTTTATACGAGTATTTTGAAGCGTTGATTTTTTCATGCAAAAATGGGCGAGAAAGAAAAAGTTCAATTTAGGCAAACTCTTTTATCATTTTTTTTTAATTTATGTGACTTTATATTCAGTTAGACTAGTATGTGTTTGTTAACTCTACTTTTATATTTCTTTTTTAGTTTATCATTCTTCATAAAAAAAGACTTTTTTAAATATTGCAAGTTTTTTTATTGTATTTAATTTTTTTTATATATTTTTTATCGGAAGTAGGTTATCGCATAGTGTATTTTTATATAGATGGAATACCAATATAAGTAATAACTTGTTTTGAGCGGCACAATGAAACGTGTACTCGTCTGTGTTAGAATTTTTTATTTTTAATAACTTTTTATATTGTATTTATAATATAAATTTTATATATTATACTAGCTATTTAGAGAGTTCATTCCTACAGACGGGGTAATGACGAAGCTCCTTAGGTTGCCAATCCCAATCTTGTGAGAAAAGCAATAGCCCTCAAGGATGCTCGTTGATGATAATCACCGTAACCAAATTTTATTTTTCTTTAACTATTTTTTTATTTAACGTCAACGGTGATGAAAAACGGTGGTGAACATGTTTTTTACCAAGTCAAGCAGCGGCGATAAACAACACTAGTGAACACAAGGTTTGTTATTAACGTCAACGGTGATGAACAACGCTGGTGAACACGCAAAATTCTTTTAAATAAAAGATTAACCTTTTTATTTTTAAAAAAAAAGTATAAAAGGTAGTTGTAATATAGCTGGTTGTATTATAGCTATTAATTTTTAATAAACAAATAAAATGGAAAACATATAAACCTTTACAACAATATGATAAGCAATTGCGTACAGCTGTAATGTTTACCATTCACCGTGAGTAGTCTGTTTCATTTTTAAAATTGTTTACCGTGAATACAATCAAGCCATGCGCTTTTCCGTTTGGTAAGCAAAAATAAAAGAGCAATACGTCATTTGGTTAATCTTTTGGTATAAGAAGAATAAATGAACAAACTTTTTTATTGTTCTAAAAATGTATAAAAGAAAATAATAATAACACTAACCACAAATACTGTAACATTAAAAAAATATATATAAAGTAAATGAAGGTTTGAATTGTTTTTATTAAAAATGGAACACGATATAGGAAATAAAGAAAGCGGTTTACTATGTTATGAACAATATAAAGAAATTATTTCTGCCAATAAAGCAGAAACTTTAAACGCGCAACGCGTTTTTATTAAATCGCGACTTGAAGAAATGCATTTCACAATGTTTAATATTTTTCACGGGTAAATAGATTTAATGCTGGCCACACATTTTTTACGCCAACGCTGCTCCAAATTTTTAATTTTGTATTATTTTATTATATAGAACACTTTTAGGTTTGAGGAGCAGCCTATTTAAAAAAAGCTTTTTTAATTACCCTTATATAGCGTAGATCGGGGTATATAGATGGTAGATTAGGGTATACAGAGGGTAGATCGGGGTATATAGAGGGGTACACTTAAAAAACAAATGCTTGTTAAATTAATCATAACTAATTGTTTTTTTTAATTTCCTAAAATTCATTGATATAAGAAAATAAAAAAACAAAAACAAAAAATTCTAAAATTAAGTAATGACAACCAAAGTTGCTAAACTCTAGACTAGCAAAACTTTTACATCTTGCAAGTAGGTGGGGCAAACAGGGCAGTTAAAAAGCAGCCGTTATTCGTCAATTGTAAAGCTTTAAAAGTAATGAAAAATGAAGGCTACCTATCGCCTAAATATGTTTAGGCATTAAACTCTTGGGTGTTTTATTATAAAAAACCTCCGCTTTACTCTAACCTATATGTTATTAAATTGGTAACTGCTACTAAATTTGAAATTAAAATATTATGGATCATATGAATCACTCAAAAAATATCCTGAAACTATTTGGCAATATTTTCGATGAGCTGGCTTATTAGCAATATGCCAATCTAGAGCAAAATTAAATATGCCATATGTACCAGCAGCTTTTCTAGTTTTTCTAATCTTTTCTAAACCTTTTTACTCACAGCTAAAACTGAATTTCGACCCGTTTTGAATGATTTCTTACATTCTTTGTTTAGATTAAACTCTAATAATAATTGAAGTTAAGTTATAAAAATAAGAATTTCTTTAAATTTATTGCAAGAAATTGATTTCTTATATAAAAAAATTATATTTTAGATTAAAAAAAAGTCATCAAACTGTAAACAGCATCACGAAATGGTAGTAATATACTCATTTATATTAATAGCTTGATGTTCCGATATGCCCCACAAAAGTAATTTTACTGAAATTAATACAATTCAAAAAGTTCAATTCCAAATATTTTTTTAAGACCAGAATCTAAAAGAGGATAAAAAATACTGTCTAAAAAGTATAAACTTTTTATAAATAAAGCAAATTTGCAAGAGCTCTAGATAAATCTTTTGTAGTTGTATCGCTCAAGAAAATACGCAAATTTTGTTTTTCGCAAACATATTGATGCATTTTGGTACTTTTTATGCCTTTTGGTATTTCTAAAATTAAATTTTTTTTACGATAATAAAGCATGATAATTTAAAATGTTTTAGTTTTAGCTGAGATATAAGGCTACAAGCATAACTGTCCCGTTATGTTAATCTTAGTTTCTTTTCACAGTAAAATATCATTCACAAAGGTAGCAAAGAAAACAAAATTACTTTTATAGATGGAGATTTCAACATGAACTATTTAATTTGTAATAAAGATAAAAAAAAAAAAAAAGTTTTTATGATGAAATATTTATGGCAGAAGCTCTCCCTTTAATTAATAGCCCTACAAGAATAACCAAAACTTCAATGACGTTGATTGATAGTATTTTTACAACAGATATTTATAATAGGAAATTACAAAAAGGAATTATAAAAACCAATATATCCGACCATTTTCTCATTTTTCTAACAACCCATACTGATCCTCTGATATCCCCGAAAAACAAAATATAATAAAAAACGTGTCTTCAGTGAGAACAATATAAAATCCTTCCAAAATTCAATTATCACTTCTGCATTGGAAACATATTATCTTTAATGAAGACGCAAATAAAATATATAATAAATTCTTTGATACGTTCTTCTCAATATACAATGCAAACTTTCCAGTTTGTGAAAAAATAACAAAAATAAAAACCTTAAATAGTACATGGATTACCAAAAACTTAAAAAATTAGAAATTTTAAAATTTGTTTTTAAATGGTTTCATCTTTTAGATAAATTTATACTGACTGATATAATTTCATTTTTTTTTAAATAATTGATGCTAACAAATGTTTTTTATAGTTATTAAAAGTTTGCATATATATTTATATTATGCCCAAAGTTAAAAAAGTTTTTGATAAATATGTGTATGTAGTGATATACTATACAGGCTTGGTCGGGAAGCGGGTGCGATCGCACTTGATAACTGGCCACGGAAATAATACTTAGTTGCGAAAATCCGGCCAGATTTTTTAGTCGTTTTGAGAACATTTCAAAAACAAAAAAGCGCATCAAGATTAACTGGACCGATGGGAGACAGTTTAAAAAAAGAGGAACAGCTTTTAACGCTAAAAAACTTTAAGCAAAATAAATACGATTAGAGCTATTATTTTTGAAACGTCGCTCATTTATAATTTTTTTTATAAAATTAAACGACATTTTCTATATAAAGTAACAACTTACTATTAATGGTTGTTTAATAAGGAAACAAATGTTCTTCGATATATCAAAGAGATTAGGGTAAAAATTTCTCAAAAAACACAAAAAAACACGAATCTGCACCCTTTATCACCAAAATTTTTAAAACTTGGCACAAATGTTTATAGACATATGTTAGGAAAGATTGTAATTTTTTCTTTATAAAATTCCTTACCGTTTATAATTTACAGCAATTTGAAATTTCCTTGATTTTGACTAAAAACTGAGGGGGAAAAAGTGCCGAAAATCATTCCGTTTACTTTCACCTTAATATGGTGCTTGTAGTGATGCCACAATTCTGAAACTTTGTACCAAAAGAGTTTAAAACCTGCTAAATCCAAAAAATAGTTTTTTATATGTCAAAACAAGGGAATGTAGCTTATTTTACGATCCATAAAATACACTTTATAACGCCGAGAAAAAAGGGCATTGACAATTATAGCTATGAAAAAATCTGACTGATATAAAAAAAATTTAATTTCGATTTTCTTAAAAATAAGATCAACGCCTACTTTTCGGACCAGTTTTGTTTTGGCCTTTTATTTACTTGAGGAATTATTGATGTTTGATATAGACACAAAATTTTTTAATATTTTTAAAATTAGACACTTAATATTTTTACCAATCAATCAAATTAGAAACTAAAAATTTAGTGACTTAATTAACAAAATTTAAACGTATATAAATTTTTTTTAAAAAATACTAAACTTTAGTGATTTTATATATGCTTTACATTCACATTATTTACAAACTGGTTCACAAAACATAATATTTAAAAAAAGAATGGATAAGACATAATAGACTTTTTTTTTTTTTTTTTTTTTTTTCCATTCACCTCCTTAAGGCCGAGAAGGCCACTACAGACGAGGAGGCTACTTAATTATGGTTATAACCCTCTCTCAACTCTATAACTCCGAAACACGAACCTTGACGAGCAAGGCCGCTGCGCGGAGAAATGAGTTGAGCGCGGTACTACCAGGGACGTGGTGGGGATTGAACTCGGAACCACTCGTTTATGAAGCGAGCGCTCTACCACTACACCACTACCGCATGAACTTATAACTATAAAAATCTTATAAATATAAAAATCTCTACTTCCTTAGGAAAATAATTTTTTTAAGTCCTCTTTGGCTAAATAGTAGCAAAGTCCTGTTTTTGTTATTGGTACCTCAACTTTGCAAATAATGTGGACATCAGAAATCCAGCATTGGCTTTCCTTTAATGGCCATTTAAACGACCGAGCAGGACCATTAGGACACATAAATTTAACAAGCACATCTTTTTCTTCTAAATTAATATCTTTAATGACTCCTATCCACTACTTTTGCTCATAGGAAACACAGGCATAATCACCTGGTACTAGGTTTACAGTTGTTATCTGGATATTTCCAAAGTCATGAATTAAAGCAAATTTTTCATCAACACTGCATAGCTTAGTGCCTACCTACACAAAATAGTAACATATGCAATTATTCTGTTTTGCTTATCAAACATGTTTTATTAAATGCATAAATAGCAAATACAGAGGAAATAAAATAAAATACAAATATTTTTGATAATTTTACTGCAAAAATCTAATATCTATTTGAGTTTATCAATAAAAGTTATTTTATTGACAAACGTGTATTTTAAAATATGGTAAAAGGTATATTTAAAAAATAATAATTTACCTTTTGATGGCCAAGTGGTACAAACTGATTGTAACTACGTTTTAAAACAAAGATTTAACATATTTTTGCAATTCTTATATTAACCTGCACACCCATCTGAAAAGTTTTCAATATTTTTTGAGGCAAATTTGTTTTTATATCATTGCAAACAACCTCAATAATTTTATAAACCATGTTCACATCATGGATCATATCATCTGAAATAATACAATAAGATTTGTGCTTGAGAATGCCTTCGTTTTTGAAATAAATAATTACTGGATGAAGTGTACATTGTAAATTTGTTTAATGAAAGCTTTGCACTTTATCCTGAACTACAAATTTATAGTTTTCTGAAAAATCACCCAGAAATAATGCTGTTCCGTCATTCATATCTTCCTTTCTTGATCTCAGGTATAATGCTTGGCTCTTTGCTTAATACGAATGTGGTGCAAGTTTTTCCAGTTTTCTACATACTAATTCAATGTATTCAAACACTTTATTATCTGTCAAGTTTGACCAATCTGTTGTTGTCAATTGATCAAATTCAATCTCATCATCATCTTCAAATTCTCCAAGTATATCATAAAGTTTTTCAATCAATGCATTCATAGTTGCTGGGCATTTTTCCCATTTCCTCATCATACAGTCTTTATTAGTTATATCACAGACAATATAAGGCAACAATTCTTTGTATGTCACGCCAAGAGGATGAAAAAGCAGTTTCAAATTCTGATGAATAGCACAGACGCATACAGAATGTGTTCATGAGGCACCAACAGTAATACACCATTTAGGTTGCAAAGTGCAAAACCTTGAAAATCCAATTTTTATTTCTGGGTTCTTGGTTTTAAAGGCAACAAACAATTCCTGTAAATTACATAAGAGCAAACGTTTTTGCATGTGGACATTTTTCTTTATGCTTACATAGTCCTTTTTACCAGGCATTATACGGCTATGTTCATCGTCTTTGTAAAAGGTCTTGACCAGTTGAATTTGAACTGTTGAACTTGAACTTGATGTTGAACTTGAGTTTGAAAATGTTGAACTTGAACTTGAACTGAACTTGAACTTAAACTGTTACATCAGGAAGAGCTTTTCCTAATTTAGGATTAGGCATGGTTAAAATGCCTTTTTTTAATGTTAACTTACGTGCAGTTCGAGCTACATAGTTTGTTACATGCAATGTTTCAGATACCTTTTTTATTGAACAGTCTGTTGGAGCAAATGTCGCAAGTTGTACTTTTTTTGATGTTGATGTAGACTCTGCAATTTTGTTAGTTAAAAATACCATCATGTTATCAAACAAGTTTGCTTTTCCCATATACTCATTATTAAAACTTGACTTTTCTTCAAAACTTTCTTCTGATATATTAAGGGAAATGGCTACCCTTTTTTTAATGGAGGTTGTTAATGCTGTCAATTTTCATTTACCTTCTCTGATTTTACCTGACTTGTGCAATCCTTTGACCTTAATTGGAGATACTCCGGCAGATACAAAGTGTGTATCTACACTTTTTTATTTATTTTGAATGGATCTTTCATTAACAATATCAAAATCTTCATCATTTTTATTTTCACTTATACTTTTTGATAAACATGTCTCATAACTTTACTTCGACAGGTTGGACACAGTTTTTTTCCGGGTTTAAGATTTAAACCTATGGTTTCTGCTTCTAACACAGTATGCATTGTAATCACACGTAGAGATGCTTAAAAAGAAAGTAATTACATTACTTAAATAACATTAATTATATATATTATGTAATTACATTACTATACAATTTGTTATATTAATAACTATGAAACATTGAACAAATCTTATTACCAAAAAAACTTATATGACTTATTAATAATGATATTACCTAATGAAATAAAAATATATAAATTTTTACCTCTACACACCTTTTGGTGACTCAGAAATGGATTTTAGCAACTTTTTTGATTACCCTTATATCTTACAACTAACATATCATGATGGTGTGTGTATATATTAGTAATTTGTTTTTGTTTCAGATTTGTTCGTTTTTTAAGTAGCTAATGATCATTGCTGTCAATATCTTCAATCAGATCTCTTTCTTGAGTATATGATTGTTTATAACAAGCTCCATAATTATTTACAAAACAGCAATTAATTTTGTTATCCATATAAAAATATATTGAGGAATCTCTGTCTAAACACTTAATACAAGAAACCTTAGATAATCTTAATGTCCTTAATAAGAAAAGTACACTTGAACACAAACAATATCATGTCAATATGTATTTATAAAGAACATATTGCTTGAACAAGTAGCTATTAGTTTAATAGACATATTTTAAATGCCTAACTAATAATCTACTAATTATTGTAAATTCTCCATTAACTATTTACAAAAAGTTGTGTAAAAGTAAAAGATAACTAAATATAATTTTATTTAGTTATGTAACTTAACATGGTAATGTTAATTAGACATTATTATATCATTTTATTACTTTTTTAACTGATGATAATAAATGTTTTATTTCAACAAAACAATCATCAACAAAAGTTACATAATATTGTTAAATTTAATGACATGATATTATTTAATGAAAAAGACATTATTATGTAATGAAAGTAAAAAGAAACAAATTTATAAAATGTTCAACTATGTTTTGTAAAAACTTTGTAAATATTTTACAAAGCTATTACAAAACAAAAATAATTGTATTTGTATTTAAAATATATTTGCAATGTTTTTTTTTTGCAAAATACTTTTAGAAAAATTGAAAAACTAAAGCATCAATAACTCCTTGATAAAATATAAGGCCAAATAAAAATTGGTTCGCAAAGTAGATATAATATTTAAAATAACGAAAACCAAAACTTTTTTTCATAAGTCAGATTTTTTCTAGAACTATAGTTGTCAATGGCCTTTTTTATTGTCATTAACAAGTGCATCTTGTGGATCTAAAAATAAACTGTATTTTATTGTTTTGAAAGATATAAGTTTATGATTTTCAGATTCAGCAGGTTTTGAACTCCTTTGATACCAAGTTTTAGCTTTGTTAGAAGGGTAATGGTAAATTGACATATTTCCGGCTTTATCCCCCTCTTTTTTCAGTCAAAAAATAACTAACTTCAATCTTAAAGGGTTGAAAACTTTTTGAAAATATGCTACAGTCTTTCCTAACTTATATCGTTAAACATTTGTGCCAAATTTCAGCGAATTTGGTGATGCAGGGTGCAACCCCTTGTTTTTTGAGAAATTTTTACCCAATCATCAGGTTAAAATATATTGTTTTTTTCGTTAAAAAATACACTCTTAATAAACATCGTGGCGTTCAAAAACAATTATAAAATGTTACTATTTGCAAGCGTGGTTTGGTTTTTTAATCTTTAAGCTCGTGGTTGTCAAGCAGGAACTTGTTTGACGGCACTTCCCAGTGGGAAAAAAAACATTTTTAGACGAATAAAAGGCGTCTATTTTATGACTTTTGATTGTTATGTCTTTTTATGATAAGCCAAAACAAAGACGTGGAAAGACGTCTTTTAAAAAGACGTCTTCAAAAAAGAGGTCGAAAAGACCTCAATCGGTTATTAATAAGGAAATCATTATTTGCTTAAGAAAATTAAAAATAATTATTGCCAATAGAACCTAACAAAAATGAGTTTTAACCCACAGTATCGTAATTACGATATCCTGATTGGCCCGTTTTTTGTTTACAAAATACTATTATATAACTTTTATGTGAAACGTTTTTGCATAAGAAATTTAATTAAAAATTAACTTTTTTCGGTAAGGGTTTATTTAACAATTTATATAATAAAGTAATATATTATGTAAAATATACATAATATAAATGCATATATATATATATTATAGTAAATATATATATATATATATATATATATATATATATATATATATATATATATATATATATATATATATATATATATATATATATATATATATATATATATATATATATATATATATATATATATATATATATATATATATATATATATATATATATATATATATATATATATATATATATATATATATATATATATATATATAAATATACTGAAATAAATTTACAATTGCAGCTGCTTAGCTAAAAAATGTTAATCGGAAGAAGCAAAAGTGGATGGCGTGTTGCCAGTATGATGGTATCGATATGATCTAGTCTCAATTAAGTTAGTCACAGGTAAGTGTTTAAAAAAAGTTTTACCATTTATTTTTAGACTAATTTTTTAATGTTTGTGCTTGAAGAACGTTGTTTAAATTGTTATGAGTTACTTTCACACTTAATTTCAGCGAAATTCAATTAAAAAATTATGTTATAGAAGACAGAAAAATCTCAATATCTGTTTTCAATAACTTGGTTTTTATAGCAAATCTGAGAGGTGCAAATGTTTAGCTTGATTAAAGTACTACATAATAAAATACATCGTTGTACAATCATTTTGATGGTTGTAAATTTATTTAGCACACTCATTTTTGTATATTTTTAGACTGTTTACCGTTTAACTCCTGTCCCAATCTAATCTATAGGGTTCAAAAAGAAGGGACCGCGCTGAAAAAAAAGTGTATTAAAAGGATCAGCCCTTTTTGAATTAATAGTTGGTAAGTATAATGCGCTCCACTCAGATAATCAAGTTTCGTTTGCTTTTTTTGTATTACATTTAAGCAATAGACTGTTTTTTATGTTCACTCGTTTTTTAGAAGTGGTAACCAGCTAGAAGTCGTAACCTGCTCGTATGAAAGGGTTTCTCGACGTGAAATTGTTAATTTTATTCAGCAACGCCAAGAAACAGAGCTTGCTCAAGAAACAGAAAAGAAAGAGAAAGATGAAAAAATATTATATTGAGCAATACTATTGTTTTATTTATAAATTATTCTCCTATATTTAAATATATAAAAGATGTAGAAAATGCTTCCTCTTTAATATTGACATCTAAAAGAGGTTTTTTTCTCGGCATCGGAAAAAGCTTTTTGTCATACTTTGTATGAAGAGCTATTATCACCCAGCTAACATGAAAGCGTTGAATCAACGTTGAAAACCAGTCGCAGCGTACAAAAAGCGTTACAGACACAAAAACAACGCGCTTTTAACGTTGAATCAATTTCTGTTTTTGTACCGGTTTTTACATCCATTTAAAACAATCATGACAACCATTTAAAACAACCATGACATTCATTTAAAACACCGCGACAATCAATTAAAACAATGTGATTTTCAACTAAAACAATCGTGACTTTCAATTAAAACATTTAACGCATGCGCAATCTTAACATTCTATATTATTTTTAAAAAAAGGTTTTATTTATATACTTATTTATTTAAATTTATTTTTTATTGATATCATATTAATTTATTTTAATTTAATGCAATTTATTTTAATATTAAACGGATGACATATTTAAATGGATGCGAAACCCGGTAAACGTGTGTACGCCTTACTTAGAAAATACACTGAGAGGTTTGATGTTGAGAGATATCTATTCTATATAGAGGAATGGTGTCACAGCAAAACATACGAGCAACGAGATATTAAAGAAAAAGAAGTAAAATTGTCTAAACGGATATTCGAACCACGGCCTTTCGAGTATGAAGAGAACGCCTTACCCAAAGTACCTAAACGCGCAGTTACTGACTCAAACAAAATAAACATTATATAATAAAAAGGTGTTGATTATCGTGGATGTTTTAAATGAACGTTATGGTTGTTTTACCAATAAGATAAGGCCATGTAAAAATGTGTACCTAAACGGCATGGAATAATTGAAGCTTAATAAATATGTATACATGTGTGTACGCCTTACCGGGCTTTTCATCCATTTAAAACAAGTATGGCATCCATTTAATACTAAAATAAATAAATCAAATTAAAATAAATTAATATGATATTAATAAAAAATAAATTTAAATAAACAAGTATATAAATAAAACCTTTTCTTTTAAATAAATTAGAATGTTGAGGTTGCGCATGCGTTAAATGTTTTAATTGAAAGTCACGATTGTTTGAATTGAAAATCACATTGTTTTAATTGATTGTCGCGGTGTTTTAAATGAATGTCATGGTTGTTTTAAATGGTTGTCATGATTGTTTTAAATGGATGTAAAAACCGGTACAATTTATATATAACTATTGTTATTATATTATTAAGAATTATGTATATGAAAGAAACACTAACCTTAAAGAACTATTACATCCGTGAATTAATAGAGTAACCCACTGTAAAAGCAATGAAGTTAACGAAATAAAGACCACGTAATAAAGTTATTTTAGTAACAAATAATAATATATCTATCAAACATTTAAAAAAACTTACGGAGCAATAATAATAACAACACAACACACGTGTGTTGTGTTGTTATTATAATAATAATAATAATTATAATAATTATTACAATAATAATAATTATTATTATTATTATAATAATAAATAACAACACAACACACGTGTGTTGTGTTGAAAACAGCTTTAAGGAACATGGAGAGAATGGACCTATTAAGAAAAATAAAAGAATTAACAAGTAATTATTTTTTAAGGACTACAAATTATATAAATTTTGTTTTTGAATAAATTTTGACAATCCTCGAAGTAAAACATTGAATTGGAGCAATAGTCTGAAAAATATAATTTGCAGAACACTGTTTTTAATATACATTGTACTGTATTTAATTTGTGATGCTAAAGTTTTTATAAATAACTTAAAAATAATGAAGATCTGGCTTTTAAATTCAGGTTTCCGCCTATATGTTATACATCTTTTTTAAATACCTTGCAGTTTTTATTATGTTTTGAAAAAATTATTATTCCTTGAGAAAATGAAAAATAGTCTGGTCTTTTATCAATGTTCTACCAAAATCAGTAAAATTTCAGTATTTTGATTTTGCAAAGTTTTACTTTTAGTTTTCCTTTAGTTATTATACATTTTGTTTTTGCAACACAGATCTTTTGTTTTTCATTTAAACTCCTAAATTAGTTACTATTTTCTTTTTCTTTTATCTTTTTTTTTGCATAGATAAACCTGACTTTATAGTCAGCAAGCCAGTTTCAGAGTTAAATAACCAAGGCTAATGCTTGAGTTAAAGTTTTTTTTATTGAAGTTTCAGAAAACATAAATAATTTTAATTAAAATTTATTCTAACTAAAACTATTTAAATTAAATTTAAATTAACCTCTTGCAAAATTAGAGTAAAAAAAAAAAGATCAAAACTATTAAAGCAATATAGACAAAATGTTTCTCAGCATTTATAATTTTCAATTTTTCATTCTGCGTCACAACTCATGGAAACCTGAATTTACAAATTAAAACTTATATTAAATATACTTTTTAGATAAAAATTAAGAATTAGTGAATTTTTTTAAAATTTTCATTTAAAAAGTGTATTTAAGTTTTAAATTGTAAGTTCATGTTTTCATGAGTTTTGATGCAGATTATAAAAATAGAAAATGATATAATTGTTATAACTTGTTTATCTTTTTACTATCTGATTTTAAACTCATTGATGTAGCTTTTATATGTTTATGTTCAACTGTTTGTGCATTATGCATATGTTCAACTGTTTGCTCATTATGCATAGAATGTAAAATCAAAAACATTGTAAGCTTTTCAACTTTCCCTTGAGTACCCACAATGAATCAGTTAAAAAAAAGTTTTTTATTGAAAACAAAGTTGATCTAGGTTTTAGGTGGTTTAAATTGAAGACAAAGTTTTTTAATTTTCAGCTGTGGTACTTTTTAGGACTTCATATATTTATTGAACTGTATATTATTAGTAAATTTTTTTTGAAAATTAGAAAACCCTAACAAAAAAATTGTTTAGGGCAGCCATTAAGAATAAATTATGACATTGAAAAATTTAATACCGTTGTTTTCAAAAGTAAGTGAAGAGTTTAATGTAATAAAAAAGAAAGTGAGAGTAATATCAAAAGATGCATCTTGGTTTATATACATATATAAACACTTACTAAAGTGTATTTTTATAAGCATTTGCTCACTTTTTTTGCTTACCTTTATCCATACGGTTTTTTAGAAAAAGAAGAAAAAACGACTGTTTATATGTTTTGATGATTTAAACGTTTCAGAAATGCGCTGAAAAAAGAAACGTTAAGCTAAACTTAAACTAGGAAAAAAATTGAAAAAACTAAGCACAAAGCACTACCATACGTGACTAGCTGATTGACTAAACTTGTTACCTGCATTTGTTCATTAAAAATTGAGTTCCTTAGCTTAAAAAGAATTATAAAAGTACCAAACATTTTTAAAATACATTTTTTGTCAGGGTTTACTTTTACAAAACTCGCATTAAAATAAATTTTTTCAGTTAAAAAACTTTTTTTATTAAAAATTTATTTATTTTAATATGAATTCTTTTTGTAAAAAATAAACCTTACGAAATTGTCTGCTTGACTTTTTTAATTTTATAATCCTGTTACTCTCCTTAACTTTTTAAAATATATTTGAGCTTGATAGCTCGGTCTAGTCCTTTGATGCAAGTTTTTTCATTGATGTGACTTTAATGCTACTGCATTAAAGTCACATAGGCAAGAACTAATTAAGCATATTATTAAAGTGGGTAGGAAAACAAAAGATTAAATACCAAAAATAAAAGTTTAAAAAATAATGAAAGTAACAACAAACTGCTATTTAGTAATTCATTAAAAAACAAAACAAGCAAAGTAGTGCTTCTTATCAGTAAATCAGGAACTAGATTATTGCATGCAATTTCAGCTGAGCAAACTTAATTAGTAAAAAAAAATGTAAAAAAAAATGTTGGATTAAAGAATTGACACAATAAAGCAAAGATGAAATTAAAGAGTGTGTTGGTAAAGTATTTGTTGCTATTTGATTAGAAAAATCGAGTTTTGTCAAACATTATACAGTAAAAAAAAAGAGAAAAAAAGCCAGGAACACTAGTTATTAAATTAATTAAATCATCATATAGCTGTATTAAAAAAATATTTTTTAATTAATAATTTATTTTTATTAAAAAAAAAAGTACGGAGAAGATATGCTCTCTTTATGTGCCAACTACTAACCAAATAGCACAAAATTTATGTTTCATTTAAATATACATTTAAAAAAATTCATATTTTAAATCTTCTGTCAACCTTTTCCTTGGTCTATAACTCTATTCTTTTTTTCTAGTAACTACTAACTTATTAGTGGTTGCTTGCAGCCTTGTTTGGAGTGAATGAGAATTTTTTTTCCAAAATAATTGTTATCTGTTTCAAATTATTTTAAAAAAAGGAAGTTAATCAAACTTGAGCACAATTAGAAAAATTATAATTATGTGGTAGAACAGTCTCTAGCACTAGGGTTGGGGTGAAATACGTATTTGTATTTGGTAGTTGTGTTTTAAACTGGCATGCTTGTATTCATATTGTATTTGATTAAAAAATCTCTTTAATATTTGTATTTGATTGAATTGTGTTTGTAAATATGTAAACTAAACGATAACACAATAATTTTCATTTACTCGACTAGATTATTTATTTACTAGTCATGAATGAAACATGATAATAGCAGAGCTAACATAGACAAGTTCCGTTCGTACCGAGGTACTACTCATACGCTGAGTAGGCAGAGCCGGGATTTGAACCTGCATTCCTGCTGCTGCGGCCAAGAAATTTAGCAGCGCTCCAACTAATTGAGCTATTACAGCTCTAGGTTGATGGTGTTTTTCTGGGAAAAACCAAGAGATTTGTTTTGTTTTTTTAACGCCAAAATAAGTTTAAAATTTTTTTTTTAAGGGATATTTGTTAAAAGACTTGTTTTCATTCTTCTATTTAGATTCCAATTTTATCAATATTTTATTAAAGTATTTTTAAATCTTTTAATTTTTTCCCGTGGCATAGGGCAGGGCAGTGAAGGCAGTGGCATGTGGCAGTGGCATATGGCAGGGCAGTGAAGGCAGATTGCCTTGGATAGCATTATTTTGAGAGCGGCAAATTTGTTTGAAAAAATTTTAAATCGCATTTGTTTTGCGTCCCTGCCAAAATACCATAACACAGTAAATAATATTTGTTTTAAAAAACATCAAGCTAGTTATTATAATGCGAAATAATATCTTCAATTTATATTTTTAACTGCAACAACTTTGCAAATTGCGAATACATCTAAAAAATTTATTTCTAAGATGTCATCAAGAAGGTTTTAGCAATAAAGCTCAAGACAAAACTGCTGAAAATAGAGGAAATTTTTTAGAAATATTTTATTTGTTAGCCCATGCTACATAAACACATTCTAAGAATCAAACTGGAAAATTTTTTTTTTATCTTATCACCTACCATTTAAAACCAGTTAATTGATGTTTTGGGGGAAAAAGTCAGAAGAAACATCATTGCAGGGCTTTAATTAAGTGATCGCGAATCGGGATATCTGGATCGTGGTATCCATTGAACAGAAACCAAGTAATGAAATCAACTTTGAAAGCCTCATTGATAACTTTGCTAACAGAACAGCAAAGAAAATAAACCCTTAAAATGTTGTAACAAAGATAATTTTTAGATGTTAAAATGTTGTTATAAATAATGCTGTATCTGGATAAGCTTTTTTGATAAATGCAGTTGTTCTTTTTATGAAGTACGGTGCAAATCAAATCTGCTTAGGGTGACATAAACCCTTGCTACACCACTGATTTATTCTATACATATAATAAAAATATTTGTATTTGAAAAATGCCGCTTACATAAATTTTATTTGAATATGTATTTGGAAAACTAAAATTAACTTATTTGTATTTGTATTTGATTAAATGTATTTGACCCTATCCCTGCCTAGAACAAGAATGTATTATCATTTTTTTCCCATTAGTTCCAAAATCCTAAGAGTTCTATTTTTGAATTCTTCAGCAAAAATCTTAAAGGAAATATTGTTTTATTGTTTCTACAAATTATCACTAAAATACTGAACAAGCCTTATTTCTGATAGCAATATTTCAATAACTTATGTTTGTTTTTAGTTGATATTTATGCAACTATCATTTTTTTATTATGAATTGCAAATTAAGAAAAATTAAACCAATTCTAAAACCTTAGGGAGACAAAACTAATTTTTATGGACAAAAATCTTACTGAAAGACCTAAAAACATTATCAAAAAATACACCCAATTTAAAATATCCACATGGTTTAATAAAGATATTACAACTGTTCTCAAATTAAAATGCACTCTTATTTTCTAAGCCATTCATATTAGGCATCAGCATAAGCCAGAAATTTTTGGAAATGTCAATATAAGTTATTGATCTTGTCCGTCATCAGATCTAATTTACACCAGATCAGTGGTTCCTCTGCCCCGAAAAAAACATTTTAACTACATAAAAATTAAAAAAAAAAACAAGTTCAAATCTTGTTTAAACCGATTTTAAAATGTTAAACATCAGTGATATACAGAAGACAGTAAACATGGCAGACAATAAAATTGTCCTTAACCCAGTCCACCCATATGAACTAAGATATAAAACCATGTGAGAACTATCCAGGGACATTCAAAGTCAATCTACAAGCCATAAGAAAGACTGTATGTCAGGGATTATCTTTTTCCGGATATTTCCAGAATTCCATACATAAACGTTTAAGTGTATATTTTTGTGATGTATTTGTTTTTTAAGCTTTTTCACTTACCATTGATGCAAAAATTAAGAAAATTTTGGAAAAAATACTGGAAAACTCAAAAACAACTCAACTAAAACAAAATTAAGAAGAATATAAGAGAAATTATGTTGCAGATTTTTCTGGATGTTATAACCAAATAATTTTCCGGGTTTTAAAAATTAGACCTGATGTGATGATCTATGTGTATGTACAGCACTTTTTATGGCTTGTGGGCTCTCTTTATCTTCCTGGATAATTCTTTAATGGGTTTAGCAGGACTTTTTAATGTTTTGATTTTGAGAGACCTTTACAATAAAATAAATCGTAAAAAGTTTTATAAGTCTCTATATTATAAATTTCCCTTACTTCATTTTTTATATAAAATTTGAGTTATAATGTCCCTGGATGGTGTGGATGTCTCTGGATGGTGGATGGGTGGATAGGCCCCAACATTTATAAATCTTATTACCACTCTAATAAAAAATTTAAAAAAAAAGAAGATATCAACTAAAGATTTAAAATTTTGAATGTGAAGGCATTTGTTTGTTAGAAATAATAACTTTAATATATCATTTAGAGACTTTAAATTCACAAAAAATAGCTGCAAGATCTTCTGCAAAGAAAGGTAATATTTGGTTTATTTCAAATAAATTTTTTTTTTTGTTACAAAACAATTAATAACTATGCAGTTTTGATTTGTTTGTTTAAATAAGAAGGCAAAAAATAAGTGGATTTTAGTTTTAACCTTCTTTTTTAAACTTTTAATATCAGAGATTATTTGCTATTGGTATGACTTTCATGGCAGTTATGTAAGAATAGTACTAGGGAAAGTTTGAAATTCTATATTTTTTGTTTTACCAGTTATTTTTAATAAAATTTTTTAGAAAAGTTTAAAAAAGTACTTTCTATTTTTTTTGCCATTGACTTTCTACTTTTATTTATAACATTTTTAGAGTATTATAAACTCAAAAGAAATCTTTGC